CTGTGGCTCAAGCGGCTAAGGCGCCAGCCACATACACCTAAGGTGGCGGGTTCGAATCCCCAGCCCGGGCCCACCAAACAACAATGATGGCTGCAACCACAAAGTGGCCGGGCGTTGTGGCGGGTGCCTGTGGTCCCAGCTACTTGGAAGGCTGAGGCAAGAGACTCGCTTGAGCCCAGGAGTTGGAAGTTGCTGTGAGCAGTGAAGCCATGGCCCTCTACCCAGGGCAACAGCTTAAGGCTCTGTCTCAAAAAAAAAAGAAAGAAAAGAAAAAAGATAGCTTGAGGCTCTGTCTCAAAAAAAAATAATAATAATAAAGATATACAAAGGCACCAAACTGAGCCTTTCAGGAAAAAAGAGATTGAAGACAAAATTGTTTCTATGTAATTCAGGCTTATGTAGCACCTAACATCATACCACCATTAATACAGGCATCCACATTTGGAAAATACTAGATTAAGGCATTATTGAAATGCACACCTTACTCCTGTTTTAGTGTGCCTCATTTTATTAGATCAAGTGTAACCAGGGCAGGGAGTATTGCACTACCTTTGAGGAGGTAGCACCTAGCATTCTGAGACCTTGAGAAAAGTTCCTGATCTTCTTTGGGCCTATTTCACTGGTTGTAAAGTGAATAAACAGATCAGATTATTGACAGAGAAGAATTCTAGACACTGGGGCTATAGCAGTGAATAAGAAAGATGTATCCTTGCTCTCATGCAGTTTACATTTGTTATGCCCGAAATTCTTCCAAAAGACCCCGGCAGACAAATCTGAGACCACACTCCGATGTAAAAGGCAAGAGGCGAGTTTTTTTATTCAGACTGGTCTGGACCCTCCTGGCATGCAAGTGCAAGCCTAGGACGAGCCCTGAACCCGGGGTGGAGGAAGTTTTTATGGCGTACAGAAAGCAAGAGGGGTAGGGTCAGATACGAGTACACGTTTCACTGGTGGTTGGTGATTTCATTAGGAAAGGGGGAAGTAAAGGAGGATTTGCATTGGTAGCTGATGATTTCACTAGTAAAGGTGATTTGGGATTGGTACAGGTGAGGGGTGGGGGGTCCCTTAACCTGGGGCTAGAGTTGGTGCAACCTGGTTACCTGTATTTCAAGGTAATAGAAACTTATTGTTTATTATAGCAGCTATTTGACTCAGTTTATGGCTCAGTGGCTGTGCAACCTGGGGTGGGGGGAGGCAGCAGGGAGTGGCTCTGCAGGTTTCACTGGCAGAGGTTGGGGCGGAAGGGCTATGTGGTAAACAGCTAGGAATGGGGCTTGTGCTTTAAACAGCCAAGAATGGAGCTAGTTTGGCTCTCACACATTCTTGTGGGGGAAACAGATAAAGAGCAAGCAAATCAATAAATTCAGCTAATAAAGGCTGTGAAGAAATAAATCATGGTAATGATTTAGAGAGCGAAGAGGAAGCAAAGACCAAAAACCTCAGTAACGTGGAGCAGCAATGTCCAATAGATACACCACATGAGCCACCTATGTAACTTCATATTTTCTTTTTATTTATTTATTTTTGGCCAGGGCTGGGTTTGAACCCACCACCTCCAGCATATGGAGCCAGCACCCTACCCTTTTGAGCCACAAGCACCGCCCAGTAACTTCACATTTTCTATAGCCAAAGTTTTTAAAGTAGAAAGAAATAGGTGCAATTAATTTTAATATTCTTTAGTACTACATATTTTATATCCAAAACATTAACATTTCAATATGTAATTAATGTTCAAAGTTGTGGGTTTGTTTTTTTTTTTTTCTGAGACAAAACCTCAAGCTGTTGCCCTGGGTAGAGTACTGTGGCGTCACTGCCCACAGCAACCTCAAACTCTTGGGATTAAGTGATTCTCTTGCCTCAGTCGCCCAAGTAGCTGGGACTACAGGTACCCCCCAGCCCCACAACACCCAGTTATTTTTTTGTTGTAGTTGTCATTGTTGTTTAGCAGGCCCAGGCGGGATTTGAATCCGCCAACCCCAATTTATGTGGCCGGCACCCTAACCATTGAGCTACAGGTGCCAAGCCATGTTAAGAGTTATTGAAATATTGTACATTCTTTTTGTTGTGCTAAATCTTTGAAGTTGGGCACCTAGTTTACATTTTCAGCACATCTCAATTCCAATGCTCAATTTTCAACAAAGTGAAATGTAGACCTAACAAAAAAAAGTTGTATTTAATGGGAAAAAAGGATTTTTATTTTATTTTATTTTATTTTATTTTATTTTTGAGGCAGAGGCTCACTATGTTGCCTTGGGTAGAGTGCTATGCTATGGCATCAAGGCTCACAGCAACCTCAAACTCATTGGGCTTAAGTGATTCTTTTGCCTCAGCCTCCTGTGTAGCTGGGACTAAGAGGTGCCGGCCACAATACCCGGCTATTTTTAGAGAGGGAGGTCTAGCTCTTGGTCAGGCTGGTCTCAAACTGTGAGCTCAGGCAATCCACCCACCTGGGCCTCCCAGAGTGCTAGGATTACAAGCATGAGCCACCTGGCTTTGCCTGAAAAAAGGGATTGAATACTGCTTCAGTTTTAATTTTTAAGTCTACATTAATTAAATAAAATTTGAAAATTCAGTTCCTGGGTCACACTATGCACGTACCGAGTACTCAGTAGCCACATTTGGCTAGTGGCTACCTGTATAGGACAGCTAGCAAAAAATGTCCCCAGAAGAGGGAGCAGCAAGCTCAAAGGTCCTGCAGCAGGAAGATCTACCTTTGCAGTGCTCAGAAGGCAGGCGAATGGCACAGCGTGGTAAAGGCAGGCTGGGAGGTGGGCCTAAAGAAAGTTTATGTTTCACTCTTAAGTGCAAAGAGAAACCACTGGGAGTATTTGGGCTGGTGTGGGATGCCATCATAGGTATTTGTAGGGGTCCCTTTGGTGAACTGAGTGGACTGCTTACATGAAGTGGGCCAGAATGACAGAGAGGAAAAGATGGTGGTTTGGCTCAGGGTAGCGGCGGTGGAAATGGAGTAGTGGGTGGAATCTGGGGCTATCATGAAGTCAGAACTGACAGAGACTGCAGATAGACTGGAAGGCGGAAAACACCATAGTTGTCAAAAACTGGAGCTGAGAGAAGAGGGAGAGAAGAGGGCCAGGCTGTAGGCCAGGTAAGTTTGAATGGGGATAAAGGTGGAGGGAGAAGGGGACCTGATTGAGGGAGCAGGCAGGGACACACTGGGGTCTGTGTGGGCACGAGTCCAGCGGGCAGTTGGCAGCCAGGGGCCGGTGTCTGGTCCTGGGCCTTCACAACCCGGCGAGATCCCAGGCATAGGTGAGGACGGGTGTGGGCGGGAGTGGCCAGCTCGGGCAGCCTGGCGTTTCCCCTGCAGAAAGAGGCTTCAATGAAGAAGGTGGCGCAGCCCCGGCCCCCGCCGCCCGGGCCCTGCGTGGCCACCCACTACAGCTGCAAGCCGCCGGCGCCCGCCTGCTGCGACCCGTGCGCCTACTGCCACTGCCGCTTCTTCCGCAGCTCTTGCACCTGCCGCGTGCTCAACCCTTACTGCTGATTGCGCCCTGTCCGGCGCAGCCGCCGGGCTTTGGGTACACCGGGCGCTCCTCCGGCGGGTGATCGCAGGTCTGGGGTCTGGGTGACTTTCTAGGACCGGGTGTGGGCGAAGCTGCCAGGAGACCGGACTTCAAGGAGACCTGTCTTGTGCTAAATTCGAAATAAAGTATGTGTAGGCTGTTCAAAAGTGCGTGGCTGTTTCTGCGAAGAACCTGGAAGCTACCGGTCGGGAGCCTCTCACGGGTAAGTGGGGACTGCGCACGCGCCACTGTCCAGGGGCCAAGGATACGTTGTCTGTGCCCTACAACGACCTCTTCTCTGGATCTAGGCGTCAGGGACGCTGCTGTCCCCTGCCTTTAAACCTGGGGACATGAAACTGCCTCCCAAACCAGAGAGTCAGATCAGCCAGGTGGAAAGGAGCCATTAAAGAACTGTCATTCAGTCTTCCACCCTTTCCTCCCAGGAGCTCCCTTGCCCCGAAAAAAAGACAGGAAATGTCACAGCTCTGCACTCTCCCCAGTCTCACTGGGATAGGGTCCCCAGAGGGTTTGTGGATAAAACAGTCAGCTGGTTGTGACTTCCAGTTTGCTGTGAGTCCCTCAAGTCAGAAGGCTGTGAGTTGAAGATCCTGGAGCCTTAGGAGGCTTCCGAGCAGAGGTGCCACTCAGGCCCACTCGTCCCTGGTTCCCAGGAGTTCACAGAGGTGCTGGACCTGGGAGGAGTTTCTCCCAGCCCAGGCTAAATGAACACCCACCTAGAGTTTGGGCTCTTAAGTTGGAAGCAAGGATTCGGGGATCCTTCCTCACTCCCCACCCCAGCTCTGTCAGCTGCTTAGGAGGCAGTGGGTCTGGGCTTGGTGAGTAGGCAGCAATCATTGTACTGAATTATCAGGAACCTGTTGCCAAAAATGTCCCAAGCTATTCCCAGAAGTTCCATCCTTAGAGACTCTCATGAGGTCTGTGAGAAATCAACCAAGGTGCACCTTTGTATCTTTAGAAGGACCCAGGGAAAGGAAGCAGATGGATACTGCTTCAGAGAATGAGGGGCAGAGGTGGGGAGCAGGGTCTGTGAGAAAGGGCCAGATGGGGTGGTCGGTCACATGGAAATGCTCAGCACCTTGAGGAGAAGGACTCCAAATGACATCATCTCTTATGCTGTGCATGGCTGGGAGCATTCTTGCCAGTGGGGAGAAAAGCTGAGAAATGCCACCTGTCAGTGCCTCTCAACAGGTGGAACTCTTCCCCATAGGATAACCATGTCCAAGCAAAAGCACAGAAACTGCAAACAATGGTGGTACCAGAAGATAACAAAACAGGCCTGTGCAGAGAATGTTTCTAGAGAGAGTCTATAAGACTGAAAAATAAGTAGTTATCTCAGTCCTGGTAACCACCATCTATCTCTGTCCTGGGGTGGTAAGGACAGTGGGGCCCAGGGTCCAGCATGGATAGGGCCAATCCTCTTACCCACTTGCAATCTTCCCTCTTTCAAATCCTCTAAAACTCCCTCATTTCCAAAGACCTTTTCTCAGTTGAGACTAGGGTGTGCCTGTAAGGACACAGATAGGATGGAAACAATGAGGCAAATACCTCTAAGCAGCAGGACATTGGATTGGCTGGAGTGGCAACCACCTGAGCAGAGCACGAGAAAAGCTGGGTGCTCCAGGCTAGGCTGTCAACACAATTCTGCACATTGGAGAAGTCTTTGTATCTTTCTAGGCTTCTATTTACTTGTTTATAAAATAGGAAATAATCATTCCTGTCCTTGTTGTAAATCTAAGGTAGTGTTGCTTCTCTGTGTCTTAATACAATGAGAAACACACACAGAAAGAGAGAGAAAGGCTGCCAGTTACTTGTTTTGCTTTCTGTCATTTGGGCTCTAAGCCCACAGGGCAAGAACTTTTTGTTCCTTGTATCACAGCTGCTGCTGAATAAATGTCATCAATAATGAAAATCTTGGGAACAGATTGCAGCCATTGCTCTTGTGTTTTCCACACACTGTTTACCAACCAGGCACCATTTGGCCACCAGTGGTGTGTGAGGTTAGAGAAGCAAAACTTAAGACCTAGTCCACTAGTAACGCTTAGTAGCAAAGCCACTTGGCTGTTGGGTCCAGACAACCACATAGAAGACCAATTCATTCATTCATTCATTTATTCATTCAGCAAATGTGTATTGGGCACCTACTTACATGCTAGATGCTATGAGTACAGTGGTGAAGAAGTCCAACATAGAGCCTCTCCTTCCAGAGCTTATGGTTCATTGGGTCTTATTAGAGGCTAGAACCACTATTAGCATATGTGGTCTATTCCAGAAAGTCTAAGGTCTTCTGTTTATTCAGGTCCCTGGTTAAGTATTTACCTGCCCAAGTTCCTCTACAGATTGAAATCTCGAGATTCCTCCACCTTTTCAGAATTCTGCTTCAAGCATTAGGGTACTGAGACCATGGTTCTGGGCCTCTATAAAACTCTACCTGGTCTAATGACCAGAACTAAACTCATATTTGTGGGTTAGAGTTATAATTCCATTGTTATGAAGATCAGGGACCCCTATCTCCAACACCATTATTCATTCCATCTCTGTCTCAATTTCTCTCCCCCCTCTACAGACATGTGCACGTGTGCATACACACGGTGAACTTTGTCCTAGAAAGATTTGTTCTGTCTTTGTGCCTATTGACTCAGGATCATTTCCTCATGTAGGGCATAGCCTTAAACTTGTGCCCAAAGTTCTCACAATGTGGCCTTGAACAAGTAATTTTTGATGCTACCACCATTTCCCCATTTACAAAGTGAGAAGGAAATCAGAGTATTTTGGATGCACAGTTCTGGTGAGCCTAAGCATAAAAACGAAAAAGGTGGAGGTTGATTCACTGGAGAGGTTTGGGAAACTCAAAGGAAAGTCTACACAACAGGCCTCAGAAAAGACAAGACCCTGAAGGGTACTAGAGGACCAGGTGACAGAAAGCAATGGACAATGTCTTCAGGGAAAGGCCACAGAGACAAGTCAGCTGCAACCTCTTCAGATCAGACCATTCAGAATTCAGATTTTCAGGAAAGAGTCTGAACGATGTGATCTAATGCCCAGGAAAGGGGGAGGGGGTGAGGTGGAAAGTCTACCTAGATTGACAGTCCCACAAAGTCCATTTGTAATGTGGGAGGGCTAATTCTCCAAGAGAAATTTAGGGATATAGTTGCTAGGAGGCAAAATACAACTGGCCGCTGCAAGAGGGCTAGACTGTGGATGTATTCTATGTTCCCAACCCTGGAAATTCTGCAACACAATCTGAAGCAATAGTATTCTAATTTTTTTTCATTTTAAAGAGAAGTATCCTTTCTTGAAATTTTAAGGGGGAACCTCATTATGTGATATACATCAAAGCAGGGTTGTTTTTTTTTTTTATCAAAGCAGTTTTAATTAGTGTAATATTACAATGACCCACACAAAAATTGGAAATCAGGGATTAAGAGATTAACACTTGCCCTCTTGTACCAGCCTTAGCAACCAGGGTTTTGGGGTTTTTTCTCTTTTGTTTTTGTTGTACAGTACTGAGAAAGGTCTAATTTACAGAGAAGCTATCGCAAAAGAAAAAAAAAAGGTTTTAACAGCTCACCTTATAACCTCAGAACAGTCTTCTAACAATTAGAAAGTTAAGAGTTTTATTTTAGAATCTGGTCCAGGTGGTTTCTAATGTGTCAAAATGTGTTGCCTAGCATATTTAAACATGCATGTTTTATTACATATTTTAAAAGGCTTCAATGTTTTCAAAAGTAGATATTGAAGGTTATGGTTCCACAGAAGGGATATACTTCAAAAACCACTATCCTGAGGGCCTCAGATTCCTTCCTGGATTATGGCCCACAAACCAAACTAATTTGTAACTATTAGATCTTTATTCTAGATTCCTCCATCTGTTTGAGCAACAATAGTTCTAGCATCACCACCTACTATTGAGAAATATCTCCTAATCACACAATAAGAACTTTATAAAGGAACTTAACTCCAAGAGCCAATTCCCATATGTGAAAGGGACAGGATAGGCAAAGAATTTGAACTGAATTAGCCAAACCATCTGTAGTAAATTTCAGATTAGTGTAGACTTATTCTTTTCTTCTTCCATGTACCAAGGATTACAGGGTGTATGTGTTGGGGTAGTGGGGGAGGTTGTGGTCAGGACATAGGGGAAGGAATGTCTTTTATTGGTAAAATCCTTTAAAACTACCAGATCTCTTTATGTTCACTCCAGACAGGAGCTTTTTACTGATAGCTTGCAGAGAAACAATAGCTAATTACCAGCACTCCCAGCTGGATATGGGAGTTGCAGAGTCTAATGGTGGTAATGATGATGACAATTCTTTTTTTTTTTTTTTTTTTTGTGACAGAGCCTCTAGCTGTCCCCCTGGGTAGAGTGCCATGGCATAGCTCACAGCAACCTCCAACTCCTGGGCTCAAGCGAGTCTCTTGCCTCCGCCTCCCAAGTAGCTGGGACCACAGGCGCCCGCCACAACGCCCGGCTATTTTTTGGTTGCAGCCGTCATTGTTGTTTGGCGGGTCCGGGCTGGGGATTTGAACCCGCCACCTTAGGTGTACGTGGCTGGCGCCTTAGCCGGTTGAGCTATAGGTGCCGAGCCGATGATGACAATTCTTATGCCCTCTTGTTGCCTGGGAAGCCCAGCAAATAGCTTCATTGATTTGAGTCCTAAAAATTTTCAAATCTTCAGGAGCTCCTTTAGAATTCCTGGACTAGGCTGGTGTAGTGGCTCCCACTGTAATCCTAGTACTCTGGGAGGCCAAGACAGGTGGATTTCCTGAGCTCCCAGGTTCCAGACCAGCCTGAGCCAGAGCGAGATCCCTGTCTCTAAAAAAATAGCCAGGTTGTTTCAGCGGGCACCTGTAGTCCCAGCTACTTGGGAGGCTGAGGTAAGAGGATCAACTTAGCCCAAGAGTTTGAGGTTGCTGTGAGCTAAATATGTTGTGGCACTCTACCAAGGGGCACAAAGTGAGACTCTGTCAAAAAGGAA